TATCTTCTTCAATTACTTTAAATTTTTTAAAGTTTATTTTATGGCCCAGAATATGTTCTATCTTTGTAAATGTTTCACGTGTGCTTAAAAAAGAATTTGCATTGTGCTAAATATGTATTCTGGTAAAGTGTTCCATAAATACCAATCAGGGAAAGTTGGCTGACAATGCTGTCTAGGTCTTCTATATCCATACTGATTTTCTACCTGTTTCATCAATTACTGAGAAAAGGGGTAATGAACACTCCAACTGTAACTGTGGATTTGTCGACTTCACCTTTTGGTTCTATTAGTTCAGCTTCATGCTCCTCTATCAGGAGCATATATGTTTGGAGACATGTATTCCTAAATACATACAATCCTAAGTAAGATTGTCATGTCTCCTTCGTGAACTGACCCTATTACTATCACAAAATGTCCCTCTTTATTCCTGGAATTATCCCTTGTTTTGAAGTCTACTTTACCTGACATTAATACAGAAATCCCAGCTTGCTTCTGTTTAGGGTTTGTGTGGTATATCTTTTTCACCTTTTAACAATTTTCTTCCCATTATAATCAGTCATTGTGTCCAACAGCATAGGCAGACCACCTTGAGCCTTCACTCCGGGAAATTCACTGGGGCTAGAGAATCACCCTCATTAGCTACGATGCTACCTACATTTCCAATATCCACAAAGCAATCTACTTGGCCTCTGCTACTCCTAACTTTTATGACTGAGGCCCCCTCAGATTCACTGAGATTCTGTGAACAACCTTATTCCCAGGCAGAGAAACATTAAAAACCCCACATCCACTCTGGAACATTAATGAAGCTAGCCTAGCCAAACATCACATCCTCCCAAGTCATGTTAGACTGCAGCTGTGGACAACAGCCCCATATTCAACACTAGTCCAAGCTGTCTGCCATTAGTTCACTAATCCTCTGATATTCCAAATTCTTGTCTCTTGTATGTCTTTTTTTTTAAATTAATTGGAATGACATTGGTCAATACGATTATACAGTTTTCAGGTAACAATTCTACAGTACATCAGAGGATTGTATGTCTTAATCCTCTTGCCTTTGGGCTATAATTCCTATAGACTGTTGTTCTGAACTTAAAACAAGTCACTTCTCTAGTTGCCACCACTGACCTCTGCTTTGCTTTGCATTCTTCCTTTAGTCTCAATGCAAACCACAACTCTGATTAAAACACGCCTAACCCTAGCCCTGAGGGGTCTCCTAATCCTCTCATGTAGCTCACTCTGGTCCTACCCTGACCTTTACTAATGGGTTCCAATGATACCGCTGTAATTAGCTAGTTACTAATAATAAGAAAGGAACAAAAGGAAGGCCAGATATTATAGGCATGTAATTTAGACAGCTTCACCAGGAAGCAACTTTACACTCCCCCCCAGGGGTCCAACAAAGGGAAGATAGATGCATGCCCAGTAAAGTTGGGGTGACATAGGGAAGGTGGTTTGCTGTCAGTCACACCTGGAGATAGAAGTAACTGACTAGAATGGGCATGGCCACTGCAAGCATGTGAAGATTTGGGATACTTAACCCCCTAGACAAAGGAGTTCATTCTCTTATCCTCTTGGCACATTTGGCTTATGGCTCATGCTTGACTTTCTGGCATTCTTCCATGGGGTCCAAAGCCATGCAGACCCCCACATACAATGGACTAATGGACAACAGCTCCCTGATGCTGTACGGGACCTGTCTCTCAACATGGAAAGGAAACTGGGCACTGGCTTTGATTTTAAATTTATTGAAATCCCACCTATACTTCGTCTACGACCGGACTAATGGAAATGGGACTTTAGAAACCCAGGGATGTAATTCCACGCAAATAAAAATCACTCATTCTCCCATGAAGGTCTCAGAAAATTCTTTTTCTTGGGAAATTGTAAGAAGTCCATCCTCAGCAGCACCCAGTGGGGAAGAGAAGCCCCCACTTCGTCTGATAACACCAGCACTGGGATATTATTTGTTCTCCCTTCTACTGCAATCATTCAAACTAAATTTTTTGTTTCCTTGAGACTTAAACCTTCATTTCTTTTTTAAAACTTTATTTTTATTGATTTTGAGAGAGAAAGGAAGGGAGAGGGAGAGAAACATCAATGTGAGAGCAACACACTGATTGACTGCCTTTTGCATGTGCCCAACCTGGGACTGAGCCCGCAACCTGGGCATGTGCCCTGACTAGGAATTAATTTATTTATCCTCATGAAAGGATATTTTTTCCATTGCTTTTAAGAAAGAGTGGAAAGGAGAGAAAGAGACACACTGATGTGAGAGAGACATTTTTAAATGAGATTTGTCTTTCAATGTTAAGCACATTCTGCCCTTTGGAGCAATATTAAAAGGGGGGGGGCTAAATAATTTTCCATAAGATTACCTCTCAAATACTTGAAAATGACTATGATGTTCTTATAAATATGTCTTTAGTGTAGTCTAAAAATATCCAGGGCTTCCATAGTCTTTTCTATACTGGCCAGAATATATTCTGTAAACATTTCACATGAGTTTTGGCATTCAAACTCAATATAACACTTCAAATATTCTGCAAGCACTTAGAATTAAATTGGATCATTATTCTTGTAAGAAAACTGTACTTGTGACTTAGGGGGGTGGGGAGGGGAGGGTAGCCATATTACATAATTGGCTAATTCTTGTTTTCCTGTCAATGAACATTTCTAGGTATTTGTTATATAAAGCATCACTAAGATATAGCTTTGAATTTTAAACTTCAAGGTAAAGTTACAGATTTATTTCTGTGAAATAATCTTTTATTTTAGTTTCTTATTCTGAATAGATTGAGTATTTTGGAATCCTGACTCATCATCCAGCATATTAGCTACATTTCTGAAATATTTCATCTATACAATTCTGAAACATACCTCATATATGAAGATTAAATAATAGGTTAAAATACTTGAAGCATAGGTGTAGGAGGCAATGGCTTCTGATATCTCTTCACTTCAACATGAATAGCATCTGGATATAGTTAGTCAGTGATAAAAGTTTACTACTTTCATCTGTATTTCTCTACTTGACTAGAAAGATATGATGAGAGCATACCACGTAACTTGTAAAATTGCACTTATGACATAGTTTTTGCTTATTATGGAAACAAAGTTACTCTGTTATGACTTAAAAACAGTAAACTGACTTTTAGTGAGTAAAAGTAATCTTTCTAATTGTTCACAAACAATTAGATCTTCTAGGAATTTTTAATAAATCATCAAGGTTACTGATCTTTTCAGATCTCTAACCATTACTAAATATAATAACTGTATCTGCCAACCCTAAAGCCTTTAGTATCTCCTATTTTCTAAAACCCTTTAAAGGCAATAATATTTCTATGATCCTTTTGCAAATTATTTTAATGTCTAGGGATATGTAATTTTCTTTAAAATTGGATATTTAACCAAGGCTCTGTTACTTTCACGTATTTTGTGCATCTCTATTTTGTATATATCTGTTTTACACTTTATTCCAAAGGAGAATGTCTGTTTGTGAGGAAAAAATGGAAACAAAATTGAAGTGGGGATCTGCTTTCTCCTTGTTATATCTTAGCTCCACACTGTGGGTCTATCTTGTCCTTGAAAAAGAAGCACACAGTTTCTTTTTGTCACACTTAATTTTCAAAAGCTTCAGTTTACTCTGGCCATTTCTGTTTGCCCACTTAACTTTTTAATTATGAACTAACATTCTATATTTTTTATACATATCTACCTAGAGGTCTCAATATTTGAAAAAGAATGCAGAAAAAACTAGTGATTCATGATTCTAATGTATATGATTGTAACTTATGCTAAATGCAAATATAATACTTATTATCTATCCTTATAACAAAATCACATTGCACTGATTAATTCCTAACATTACCCTCAGTTCTGCTTTTTCTATTTTTATGCTTTGATACTGCCATTCATACAAAGGCAGAGCAAAATATCCGCGTTCATATCTTTTGAGTATTCTTTACCACTCTCCAATTCATTTTTCTTAACCATCTTCAATAAATATAATAGAAAATAATAAATTGATGTTGCTTTTCTCAATTGTCAATTTTTTCTTTTTGTTTCTAGTTTTCTGATTTTTGTACCCAGATGATGTTGTTTCTTAATTTTACTGAATAAAAGTAATGCCCACTTTAAAGTCATTCTGTTTTTTGCTTCCTGATCCACATAGAGTTCTAGGTTTAACACAACTTTTTTCTGCCTACCCTGTTACTATCCACCTCCTACTTGAAAACAGAAAACTGAAACAAGAAATATATTTTCAAAGGTTAACAGGTGACTTTTCTTTATAACTCTCATACTCTTGATTAAGATCACACTAGTCTGGATTTGCTAATGGAAAATGTCGTCTAACTGGCAAAGAATACCTGACGGTAGCTGCACAATCAGTAGCTGTTCAATACTCTAAGTTAGTTAACATTACTTTTATAAGTTCATTCTTTTTCATTTTGACAATTTCTCTACTTTTGAAAAATGTAAGCATATACCTTAACCCATAATTTAATGTCTTGATGTACAATATTAAGGCTATAGTATTTCTTAAGACATAATCGAAAATACTATCAAAGCTTTAAATGAGATAATTACATATATTCTACACTGGATAATATTTCATCTGCACCATTAACAAAAACTAGCTGAAGTTATGATTTAAAAATTATCCATGTAGAAATACCTATTATGAAACAGATTTCTAAAACCTGAAAAGCAGGTCTGACATACATCACTTATTTTCTATGACTGAGAACATAATGAAAGAAATGAAAATATTACCTATTTCTAACAAAATTAGGTAGACAGAAAAAAAATGTTAGAACAAGGAACCTTTAGGCCACAATAAGACCACTAAGTATTCCAGAACATGAAATTGACTAAGAAGTTAATTAAAGTAGTAAACAAAATTATTTATAACAAGAGCACAGAAGTTGTGCTTTTAAAAAAAGATTTAAAGGAAAGGGGGTGAAAAAGGTGAGAAAAAGTACTACCAGACTCCTTACCCATTGCTGCTGGTGCTGGAGCTTCCTGATGGTATTTTCAGCCTGCTCCAGTTTAGCACTGGCCTCATCACTCTGCTGTTTGATGGTGGCCAGTTCCCGTTTTATGAGGTAGTTTTCCTCAGCCTCCTGGGCTCTTGTCACTTGTCCCTTAGGACATAATTTTTGTGTGTGTAAAGCAATTTAGGATAGAGTCAAGAAAGACTGTCTTTGTGAGGTTTAGTTATTTACTTTGACATATTTTTTTTTAAATCACCTCAGAGAACAGAACAGCCTAAGCAATTGTTAGCCAGCAGCTCATTATTGCTCCAGCAAATTTTGGGGAACTAAATGAAAAATTCATCTGACAATCTTAAGAACAATTCTTCTTTCAGTCAATAAAAATTCAATTCATGCAATATTATTGAGCTGTACATGCAGGACTAAAATTTCAATGAATAAGTAGTTAATTTCACAGAATCCACTGATTGCCATTTGGTAATAAGGTTAGCTTTAAAACGTGCAAAAGTGCTCATTTTAATAAAACAAGATAACACCCTGTTATCAAAAGTAAGTTTACACCCATATATATCACCTAAAAAATTATTTTTGGGAAAATGCATGTAAAATTGCATGCATTAAAATAGAAATTTCTAGATTTAAGTCTTTCTTTAGAAGTTAGAGAAAATGCTAAAAAACAAAAACAAAAAACTATACCTGTATCAATCTATCTGCCAAGGAAGCACTTTCCTACAAAAGGAAAAATTCAGATAGAAATGTAAGAGAAAGAAATAAAATAAAGATGACAAAATTAGGAATAAGAAGGAACAAAGCATACCCAAATTCCACCTACTTTTCATGTAATTAAAATAGAACATGTAGATTTTAAAACGGTTTTTACTGAATGCATTTTTATTCTTAAACCTTTAATAAATATATTAAAATAAGAATACACTGCAGAAAATCATGTGCTTCTAGAAGACAACACAAATTCTAAGAGGTTTTTCATTATTTGAGATAAGCGAATATCTTCTTTTTAAAGCATACTTTTAAATCTTTATTTTTAGAGCCAGCCATATTGTCAAACTACTTATATGAAAGGGAGAAGGAATTTGAGTAAGCAATTCCACTTACAAAGTGTGACAGTGATTTGTACAACCCCAACTTCCAAAGACCAAAGCAAGAAAAATATTACAAATGAAATTAATGAGCTCAGCCTAATACACTATAGGAATAACTGAGTAAACTTTCTGGTTGCAGAATTTAACTGATACCTGTGTATTTATAGAATTCTAAGTGGACACACAGAGGACATCTAAGCCAGTAAAAAGGTACTTAGTTTTTTAATAAAAATTCAGTTTAACACTTTTCTAACAGCACCTTTATCATTCTGAAGGTTCAATAAAATAGAAATGCTTTCTCTGTGAAAATGTCTCACTCCAAAGATAAAAGACCACCTAAGAAGATATAATCTTACCATAAACTGAGTATTTAGTGAAAAAAAAGTAATTAAAACAAAAACAACTAAGCTCAACCTTTTTGCAGAGTCACAAAAAAAGTAGAATTATCATCAAAGCAACCATAATAAGATGAAGGAAATACAGGAAAACTATTTTTGACTTAATATAATGAACCTGCAATTAATTATCTTACAATAAAAATAGACATGTAATCAGCATCCTGGTCTTTGTGCAGTGTTATTTAATATAAAACCATTAATACTTACAAAGGCAAAAATGCAAACTACCCATTTTTTATTTCTTGATTTCTTAAATATCAACCCATAGATTATCAGGGAAGATTTTAAGATAATTGGCAATATCATAAAGAGCACTTTTTAAAATCTACTTTCTCTCACCTTTAGTTAAAAAAAAAAAATACAAAAACCCCCAAAACACCAAAAGACTTTGTAAATTCAGATGTTTTTCTTAAAATAAACCCAAACTTTTACATTATACTTCTATTACTCAATACATTCTTAAAGCATCAGAAATAAGACTGTAAAAGACATTATATCAAAAGCATAATATAAGAAAGAATGTAGTATTTCCACATTTGCCCAGGTATTTTATACAAAAGAAAGAGGAGAGGTAAACAGTGGTATCAAAATAATTTTAAGAACAAAAATTTAAGCAAGATTCCCCTGTGCTGAAACTCATGGCTATTTTTTATATAAGAAATTAGTTATTTTGACTAAACTTAAAGCAATCCCAGCTAGGCCTTACATGAATCATTGCCACATTTAATATATGGCTAGAAATGCAGGGCAATATTTGAAACTCATCTTTAAAATACTATACAGAGTAGATTCTCAATTAAGTTACCTCTAAAGAACATTCATTTTAGAGATTATATGTAAAGAAAACAAATATTACTATAATAATAGCCTTAGTTAAAACTTTAAAGTTCAGGAACTAGTAGTGATCAATTTTTACTAATGACAAGCTAAGTAAATACCACAATTTCGGAGACATATGTGCTAGATCTCTTGAACCTTTATATAAGATAGACCCCCAAAAAATATTGTGTATTCAACAGAAACTTGCATAAGTAGTCATTTACTTACTTTTTCTAATGTTTCAATGCGTTGTTTTAAAAGTCTATTTTCTGTGCGTAACCTCTGGAAAAAAAGAGAGAAAAAAGAAACATACAAACAAACAAAAAAGATTTTTGGTTGCAAGCATTCCTAAGAGGAAGAAAGATACCTAAATCATAGTCCTTAAAAATGTACCACCTTTTATAAGAGTCTAAGGGATGGTTATATTATTATATTATTATTATAAATTCTTAAAGACTCAGAGTAAGAAATCCATAACAAAGAAAATGAGCACATTTATCATTCCAACTGTTGCTGAATTTTAAATATATGCTACAATATATACAGAAATAACCCTTCTTTTCGGTACCTATCATAATGACTCTTAGTTAATACTGTATTTTCTTATGTCTTAACATTCCCATTAGATAGAAGAGATTCTAACTCTTCTCCTACAAAGCCTGTCTACAAAAACAAGAAATCTGAAAAATGCATGCTCATAGATATTGTCAGTTTTGAATTAGACCAGTCTCAGTTGATGATGCGTTATATATTCCAAGTTGCAAAATTCCTCACATTTTGAAAGTATAAAGAATGAGTTCATCAAAAGAACTGTTCATCATGAGGTATTTTAAATGTAAGAAAATTAAACGTTCCAATTACTAGCATTTTTCTCATAGTTCAAAAAGTAAAACCAGATTTTAAAAACTCTTCACCTAGATCAATACCTGACTCCCAAAACCCTATCAAATTACTGCCATAAAGTATTAAATCCAAAACACTCTACGTTAAAAAAGTATTTTTGTATATATTACCAATATAATTTCATATTAATCCCCTATATAAATTATTTTTTCATTTTAGAATCCACTAAATGTTATCCCTCTGTTTTGTCATCACTCTAATTTAAAACTCTCCTTACCTTTCTGTACCAATTTGCTCCATAACTCAAATCCAGCCTTCTTTCAACCCTACTCTTCCTCTAAATTCCTGCTAAAAACGTCTTCCTTGGAAAATTCTTCCGTCAATCCAATCTAATATTTTGCCAGTAAAGAGTAAAATATAGCATAAAGTCTGAGACCAAGAAAATTAAAACTCTATGAATTAGCGTACCTTATAAAGTGGGCTACAGATTGTAACAAATAAACCTTAAGAATTCTTACAAAGATACCATGCAGATTGAAATTGCTTGTTCTATTCATTCAACATACTTAGATGACCTGAAATGTGTGATCTCAGGCTACAAAACAGCATGGTGGTCTGCACAAACAAGCAACAACTAAATGCTGTTCAAGGCTGGAAAGCCAAAGCAACAAATGTGATTCTCGAAATGTTCTCAGTGTATTTTATCAGAATAAAATTCTAACATTTTGTTTATCCTAAAAGATTTAGAAAGTTAAGTTCAACCAGACAGCTGAGTGAGTAAAGTTACTGTTAACAATAGAAATAATGCTAAAAATAATAAATTTTTTAAAAATTCACCTGGTTTTCCTTTTCCATCCCCTTTAAATCTTCTGAAATTCTGCTATAAAAATCTAAACTGATTTTCCCCCAAACATCTAACTAAATGTCTTAATACTACTTTTTAAATAATCAATTCCTCATTTGTGTAATATCCACTTCATCATTAACTGATAATTATAATAGACTATTATAATTAATAAAGACTATTTCAGGATTACTATTAAATTTCAAGTGTTCTTTTTTTGCAAGTGTTTGTCTTTTTTTGCACTGGTATCATGGTATTTTGGTAATTATATGCCTTTGTAATGCCTTTTAATATCTAGTAGAGCTAATTTCCCCCACTGTAATATTGTTTTGTTTCTCCTCCCCAAACCTTAACTACTACTGTAGTTAAGCAGATTTAGATTCAAATCCTCAATCTATAATCAACACCTGTCCATGTCTTTCAACGTCTTAGACTTTCCATTATCTCACTTAGAAAATTAGAGTAAAAACACCTACAACGATATTATAAGACTTAAATGAGAGAGCATAGTGCTTTATATATATCAAACACTTGGTTAGTGATAAGCATCACCCATATTTTTAGTTAGGCATGAATTTTTTTATTACTTTTGTCTACTTTTAAAATTGTTCTTTAGATTTTTTACTTCTCTGGAATACTGCAAGGAATTAAATTTGACTGGTTTGTTAATTTATATTTTGTGGGGAAATTCATGTGTTTATACAACATGCAGTAATTTTTGTCTTTACCTTTGATTCATCTTTTTAAAATGCCTGTATGCAAAGTTTTTCAGTTTTTATTCCTTAGGTTCTATCCTATTTTTCATTTAGGTCATTCCTAGATATGCTTTTATTTTTACTTTACATGAAACTTCTTCAAATATATTTTTGAAATGTTTATTGCTAATACATGGGAAAGTTAATGACTAAAATCTATCATTTGCCTGATTTCTCACAAATTTTTGAGCATCTTTCTTTTTAATCACATTTTCTGGAACTAATTAAAAGGGTATTTTCTAAACTTTTAAGTGAAAACCACAAAGAGAAATACCAATAGAAATGTACACTTAAAAAAATTATTTAAAAAAAAACACTTTTTGAACTACCAAACTAGAAAAAAAAAAATGAGGCTGAGAATGAGAGAGAGAATGAAATACCTAAAGTTAGCAAAGTATTAGTGAAATGGAAACTCACTACTAAGAAGGATATATTGGAAATATTGTTTAGGAAATTCACTTAGTACACATCAAACATCTTAAAAATACTAATGCCCTGTAATTCAATAATTCTACTTTTTACAACTGGTTATGGAAATTCAAGGTGCCAAAAAACTTTATATAAAAGATAATAACTATAAGCATATTTTTAATAATGAAAAAAGCGAGAAACAAATATACCAAAATAGGAAAATCTTGCTTTCAAATAACCCACTCTTCAACCATTATCTATTCTTGCCAAATTACTTGCTTTATAACATAACCCAAGTTCAACAATCCTCCTTCTCACAGGGACAAGCCAGTGACCCTATCAACTTTTCATCGTTCCTGACTCCCTGATGTCCTCTCTCCCCTCTTTACAAAGTTTAATTTCCAGTCATTATAGACATTCCCTTGCTTTTATCCTTCCTTCCCCATCCCTTTCTTAGAAGCCAGTATACTTGCCTGATGAAACCACTACACTGGATCAACATACTGACAACTCTGTATCTGCACCTATGCCGGTAAATACGACCAAAGAAAAATATAACCATGCTTATTTAAACTGACAATCACGAAATTCATTTGGACTCTTAATGTGTCCTAGCAATAAGTATGTATTTACTTAGTCCACTCCTTCTCCCGCTCTTAGATGACTATTTCATACTTACTCCTCTTTCTTCGAAACAGCAACCCTCTAACCCACAGTCAGGTGATAATCTTGTTATTTTACTGAAAACATGGTAATAGTCGGAAGAGAACTTCACAAGCTCCCACAACCACATCCTACATTTTACCTGTGTTTTTGCCCATATATCTGACTTTCTCTCCTGTTATTGTAGATTAACTATCTATGTTAGAAGACCAACTTAAGTCTTCTCCCACGCACTAAATCCCATACCTTCCCTACTCTAGCAATTATCTCATCATTCATACATCAATTTTTCCTACTTAATTATCACCATAATAATGTGCTTATTTTTTAAAAATGTGTTTATTTCTATATTAAAAAAAGAAAAACAAAAAACTCAACATAACTACCTTCTACTCTTTTCTCTACGCTTCTAAGACACTCTGCCTCCTTGGAGTTCTGCTTTGCAGCTTTATTTCACCTTCCTAACGATTAAATGCTGGCTTACTCTAAGGCTCAATTCTTGAACTCTCTTCTCTATTTCATCTACTTAAGAATTTCTGGCCTTACACGGGTACAAATAAAAATTTTAAGAGACACATAGGAATTTATATGCCCTTTAAATTGAAAATATACATGTTTCTCTGGAGAGTAGTTAGTGATAATGAGATTTCCCAGGTAATCTCATTCACTCTCATGGCTTTAATATCATCGTGTCAATAACTACCAAATTTATATTTATATCGAGTATGTCCTCTCTTAACTAACTCAGAATATTCAAGGAGCTACTCAAACATCTTCTAGGTACCTCATACTTTAAAAACACGCAAGCCCTGGATGGTGTGGCTCAGTGGCTGGAGCACTGGCCTGTGCACCAAAGGATTGCGGGTTCAATTCCTGGTCAAGAGGTCAAGGACATGTACCTTGGTTGCAGGTTCGTTCCTGGCCCAATTGGGGCACATGCGGGAGGCAACCAACGTATGGGTTGCTCTCACATCGATGTTTCTCTCTCTCCCTCTCCCCCTCCTCCTCATTTCACCCTCTCTAAAAAAAAAAAACAAAACAAAACAATGGAAAAATATTCTTGGGGATGATTAACTGGGGGGGGTGGGGCAAAATTAGGGCCCTGGTATTTCTCCCCAAACCAGATTCTCCAGGAAACTCCATTTTCTAATTACTCAGGCCAAAATCCTCGATTCCTGTCCCTCTTGTATCTCCACGTTAAATCTGTCAGCTTTACCTTTAAAATCTATTCAGAATCCAATTACTTCTTACCACCTCAGTCCCAGCCACCATCACACCTTGCCTGTACTACTTCATCAGCCTTGTTCTTAGTCTCCCTGTGTCTCTGTTCTTGCCCCCAACAACCTACTCTCAATACAGGAGCCAGAAAGATCCACTGAAAACTTAAGTCAAATCTTGTGCTTCTCTGCTAAAAATCCCCAACTGCTTATCAGAGTAAAAGCCAAAGTCTTCACGTGGTAATTATCTGCAATATGCAACACCTTACCTCCTACCACTTTCCTCATCATTCATGTTGCCCATCCACAATGGCCTCCTTACTGTTCTTTGTCAGGCACACTCCTGACCAGATTCTGCTCTCCTTCCAGATATCTATATATCTAGCTCCCTCAACTTCCTTCAAAAGTAATCTGGTCAATTTCTGCAAGTTTTCAATCCAAAACACTGCTATTTTATTTTCTGTCCCTTAAGGTATTTTGTTCTCCTGTTTAACACTTATCATAATGTAAAATACTGTACATTTTACTTTTCTGTTTATTGTCTGACTTCTGTACTAGAATATAAACTCCATGAGGGCAGGAATTGGTTTCTTTCATAAACACATCTCAAGTGTCTAGAATAGAGCTTGGACATGTACATAGGCACTATAAATATCTGTTAAATGAATGGCATTAAATAAATTATGCTTTTATACACTAGATTTTATTATTCAGCCATTAGCTTTTTAATGAAAACTTCATAAAATGGGCATCCAAACCCTTCTTACATTACCAATATATTAAAGTCTCTCTCAGAAAGCAGCACAGTGTAAGACACTGAAGAACATATATGGGCCTTAAAATAACACAAATCATAGTTGAAATCCTTGAATTTCACCATTTTCTAGTAGTGTGAACAGTAACATATTATTTGAACTCTCTGATGCTTAGTTTCTTCATGAAAAGATGGGAATAAGAAACCTTTCAAAATACTATTCTAAGAATGGATGAAGATAATGCATGTAGATGACCCATCATTTATTAAGTGTTGAATAAATATGATTGTCACTACTAATATCCCACATTGTTAAAAATAATTACTGAAGATTTAGATATTTGTCATGATTTCTTTTTTTTATGTCAGGCAGTGGATACACAACTGTTTTTATATTATTCTGTTTTTCAACACATCTGGAATATTTCTTAATTTTTGAAATTAAATGTTAATTTCTGACAAACAACAAGTCAGAATTTCTAAAACCTCCCATTTGCAGGGCTTTAGACCTTTATGTCCCAAAGAACAAATTTAAATATAGGTATTAGATTATAGTTCATGTTTATCTTAAATTAACTGGGGGAACAAAGGTTTTTCTTTTTTAAAGGTTTGTGGGTTACCCCAATATAAGCCAGAATTTTAAGATTTGCTCCTCCTCTCCTTCAGGTGGAACATCAATGGATTGGAAAAAGACACTGATAAAAACATTTCTATTAACAAAAAATTTCACACCGTAAAATGTAAGATTCTCCATATGAAAGCATTATAATAAAAATCTTCATATATATATATTATATATATATATATCACTTTCAGAGAGGGGGTGAAAATACTTAAAAGTCCCATCTTGATCAGGGAGCTGGCTGACAGATATTATTCTTAGAATAAAAAGGTCACCAACCTGAAGGTCTTAGAATAAAGTAAAAACAGTGGAAACCTTAAAAATATTGCACAATATCAAAAGCTGATTTTTTTACTTTCATATTAATAATATAAATTTATACTTTCATATAAATAATTTGATGATCACACTATGTGCTTGTGTAGAGAACAGTACAAGACTATGTCCCTGAAGACTTTAGAAGTGAATCAAGGTAAGGAAGTACTAGTTTAACAGAACTCATTCCCTTGTAAAAGGGACCTCAAGGAGAAGGGAAGAGAGTAAAAAAGTGGCATATCCCATTTTAGAGAAAGGCTCAAATTATACATAGCTCTTTAATTGGAAATAAGTTGATCATTTGATGATGACTGATCCTATTAACAAGGTGGTCATCTGATTATGACTGAGATGAGTTGCGAGGTCCAAGTGGAAACCAGACAAATACCAAATTTTAAGTGAAAAAAGTGTAGTCACACAAAATTTGTTTGGCTTTGTCTTTTGGCGAGGAGACAGGAGGATTGAAAAAAGAGATGGATACGGTACAAGAGTAAGAAAGAACTATGTATAAATAAGATTTTAGAAAAGGAACAGACTACCTTTGAGATCAGCATACTTTATTTACCTGTTATGTTCCACTAATATTTTTAACTTTCTTTTCCACCCCCGATTCTTCTCTATAAATAACTTATGCCATCCATTTTTGCCTAAGACACATGGAGCTGGCAAGCAAAAGTATTTTGTGAGGTAACTGAACTATAACTTCCCCCAAAAAACAAAATTTGAAAAAAACTGCAAACATAGGCTAAAATCTGCTAAGGACCTTTTTGAAAAGGTCTTTTGTTATTACTACATTCATGTGACTTAATTTTAGGAAAAAACTTCAAGAGCAAGAATTACTCATAGACCTGAGATTTTTTTTTTTTCTCCCCCAATAACATAGCATGGTGAAATGAACAGGATGGCTTCCCCATCCTCAGATTCTTGATTTGCTGTTCCGAATATTCCTGGTATGCGATAACCCATACTCTCTCCCCACTCATCAGGATGACGTACTTTTTACTTTCAGTAGGTTGAAGTAGAGGGTATAATTAATTTTACCCTTACTCATGGTACCTAAAAGAAAAGCAAATGGTAGAGCAGCAGTTGGATAACAGAATTTTAAAAAGGAGGGAAAAAGAGGGATCTTTTCTGTCTCTCTGTCTGAAAAATGTAGAAGTACCTATTTCCAATTAATAAGAACAGGGGACAAAATGGAAATAACACATCTAGAGAAGGGAGACAGAGTTGGTAAGAGAGGTAACATAGAAAAATAGGGGAGACTGTGTCCCAGGAGGCTTTTGAGGAGGTTCATGGAGAGGAGTAATAACAGGACCCATTCCCTTGTAAGAAGGACGTGCAGGGTGTGAGTGACATGGTGGTATCCTATAGCAAGGCTGAATTAACACAACTAATTAACTCTGAATAAGGTGGCCATCTAATGCCTTGCCAGATTCAAATAAAAAATCAGACAGACGCACCCAAACACAGAGTGGGGGGAAAAAGTAGTCACTCAAGAAATATTGTTTTATTTTTGTTTCCTGGGGGGTGGTTAAGAGATAAGAAATGGGATCAGCCATCACTGAGTTTCTTTACTACCTCATCTTTCTATTCATCATCTCCATCCTAAAACATCAGCATAAAAGCCAATAAAACTTTTCTTAACTCCCAGCTCAAACAACACCAAAGATCCCCAACTTAAGAATTTCTGGCCTTACAGGGGGTACAAATAAAAATTTTAAGGTACATATGGAAATTTGTAAGTCCTTTACATTGAAAATCTACCTGTTTCTCTGGAGAGTAGTTCAAAAGTATAACATTAGCTTAGTGATGAAAAAATTGAATTAGCAAAAGCTTCCTGCATCTCTAAAGCAGTCATAGTTAGTTCTAATGCAATGATTTGCTCTATTTGGTCTACCTTAGACTATACTGCTGTTAGTCTCAGCATGCTATAGATTATCTTCTCCACAACATTTAAAAATATCCTTAAATGGAGTAGTTATCTTACCCACAGAAGTATTTTCTCAGGATGACCCACCAACATATCTAGAAAAAGGGAAGAGCTGCTCTCTTTTACACTAGAATGAAAACCACCCTGGTCACATTATTCTGGTTTTTGAAATATCTATTTTTAACTATAATTAGTGGGACAGTAAATAAATTTATCAGTAAATAAATTCAAACATCACTGTTAAATGTGCTATAAGTAGGTAACAAATATATTAACATAACCTAACATCTACTGCCAAATAATTGACTTCTATCAATTTATGTTCAGCACTTTTAAAAGTCCCGAAATGCTTACTTTAATTTCAACTTGCTCTTCCATTTCTTTAGTTTTTATTGTAGTGTATTCCTTTTCAAGCCTAAGAAGAAGGGAAAAAAAGGTGTGTTTTCATTCAAAAATAGTTATTAAATTATAAAATTTAAAACTATATATTAACACAAAATATAATTTCATTAGGTTCCCCCAACTTATATTACAAACTGAGATATCTGATGAGAAAAATCAAATAGTTGCATAAATTCTTACAAAAGTTACTTTACAAATAACAAAAATAAGGGCCATACAAAAGTAAGTTTTAGAATAGCAATTTTCAACCTTTTTCATCTCATGGCACACATAAACTACTAAAATTCTGCAGCACACCAAAAATATATATATATTTTCCAATCTGACAAAAAATAGGTATAATTTTGATGGATTTACAAATAATAATAATAGTAATTATCTACTCTTTTTGCTCCAAAGTGACTTTTTTCTTAAAATATGTTATTGCATTCACAGAGGAAGGGAGAGGGGAAGAGAGAAACATCAATGATGAGCGAGAGTCACTGATCTGTTGCTTCCTGCACGCCCCCTACTGGGGATCAAGCCTGCAACCCAGCAGGTGCCCAGACAGGGAATCGAACCTCGATCTCCTGGTCCGTGGGTCAGCATCCAACCACTGAGCCATGTCAGCCAGGCCAAAGTGACTTTTTAAAAAATCAGGTGCCTATACTTGTATATAAGGATTTGTGGTACCAAGAATCAATCAATCAGACACAACCTCATTATGCAACATGAACAATAAGATGCAACTCTATCAAATTTGTGACCTATATACTTATAGTTCAAGACAGGGCATTCACACTGGACAGCTATTGTGTTGGCTGTTACCATTTTTTTTATTTGACAGTCTAGGGGAAAAGAGGTCAGTGCCCTTGACTAAATAGTCAGGTATCACATGTTTTAAAAATTCTTGTAGCACATGGGTGGAAACTCGCTGCTTTAGAAAGTAAAATATATAAGGCACCAAACAGAGAACGAAGTGTACAGATTCTATTCGGCCCTAAACTTACAAAAGAACTACCTATCCGGGCCCTAAACTTACAAAAGAACTACCTATCCGCCCCCATTAAATTAAAATACATCTGTAGAGTTCAACCAAAGAGATCTTAACCAAAAAAAAAAAAAAAAGTTTAACGACAGGGATACATTCTGAGCGATGCATTATTAAGGGATTTCGTCTTTGTGCAAATAGCTCAGGAGCCATGAAGAACAAAACAACACAATATTAAATAAAACACAAGAGCCCAGCCGTGTGTGGCTCAGTGGCTGAGCATCAACCTAGGATCCAGGTGATCAGGGTTCGATTCCCGGTCAGGGCACATGCCCGATTACGGGATTGATCAATGACTCTCTCATCATTGATGTTTCTATCTCTCTCTCCCCCTCTCCTTTCCTCTCTCTGAAATCAATAAAGATATTTTTTTAAAAAAATCAAACACAAGAAAAAATGATGCAATCAAGAGAAGGAGTAAACAAAAGATGTATGAGGCTGCTGCACCGGCGTATGAGGTGTAACATGGCATGTTCTTTTTTTATATAAGTAGAAAGCATTCTAAAATAATGATTAAAAGCATAGTAAAGTAACTATATAAACCAGTAACATAGTTGTTTACTATCATTATCAAATATTCTGCACTGTACATAACTGTATGTGCTATGTTTTTCTAAGACTGGCAGCGCAGGTTTGTTTACATCAGCATCAACATAAATACATAGGTGATGCATTGCACTATGATGTTACCATGGCTACAGCATCACTAGATGATAGGAATTTTTCAGCCCCATTATAATCTTATGGGACCACCTTCATATATTTGGTCCACTGTTGACCAAAAACACCGTTATATGTGGTGCATGACTGTATTAAAATTGACTAACGTTTATAATGGGGGAAAAGGGACAACTATTTCTAACAAAAGAATTCCAATTAATAAACATAGAAGGAATGAGACAAATATAAAAATCACCATTAGAACTCCATAACAGTAACTGCCACAGGCAAGGAAAATCAATGAATTCTAAAATTAGTGAATAAAAGTTTAAGCATAGTCTCAAAGCAACTCTCCCAAAATATTTACCAATTACAAAGGGAAAAATAGTAAGTTTATAGTACAGAATCCTAGCAGACAACATCTGAGCCAAGTAATCAAGGTTAACATCACCAGCGATCATACTGATATCAAGCATCCTTGCTAGAAGGTACTGAGGGCACCCCATTTCTGCAGTATCCTTTCCAATAAGGCATATCCTCAATGTAATCAAGAGAAATCATAAAACAAACCCCAAATTGAAGGACCTTCTACAAAGTAACTAATCAGCTCTTTTCAGAAATATCAAGGTCATGAAAGACAAGAAAAGACTATAAGAAAATAAGAAATGACAAATGAGATACACTATTTTTGCAACTCTACTATAAGTGTAAAATTATTTTTTAGAAACTTACAGGTCATAAAAAATTAGTCTCAACAAGTTATTTTTATATCTTGCTCCTGACCAAAAATGTTAATATCAAGTTTAACAACTCCAAATATTAACAAGACCAGGCCCTAAACAACTTATAGCTGCTTTTAAAAATTCAATTCTCCCTCAAATAGAAACCTATTAACTACTATATATATTAAATCTCATTTAGCCCACAGTAATTTTTATTGAGGTAAACTATATAAAACATAAAATTTATCATATTATTTTTAAATGTACAACTCAGTAGTATTAAATACACTCATAATGTTGTATAGCCATAACCTCCAGCATGTCCTTAGCACTTTCATCTTATAAAACTGAAACTCTCCCCATGAAACAATAACACCCTATTCTCCCCTCTCCTTAGATCCTGACAACCACCATATTATGTTGTCTCTATGATTATAACAACACTAAGTATCTCATATAAGTGGAATCATACAGTATTTGTCCTATTGTGACTGGCTTATCACTTTTAGCATAATGTTCCTAAGGTTCATCCATATTATACCTGTATCAGAATTTCCTTCCTTCCTTTTAAAAACTGAGTTGTTTTGTATTTGTTGTAAATGCAATGAATTTCATCGTATTTATACACATTTTGCCTATCCATTTATCCATCAATGGACATTTCAGCTGCTTCTGTGTTTTAACTAATAAAAATAACGCTGCTATAAATATGGATGTACAAACATCTTTCTGAAACTTTATTTCATTTTTTTGGAGTATAGTCCCAGAAGTGGAATCACTGGATTAATTTTTTGAGGAACTGCCATACCCTTTTCCATAGCAGCCGTAACATTTTTCATTCCCAGCAACGGTGCACAAGGGTTTCTATTTTTTCACACCCTCAGCAACACATTTTATTTTCTGTTTTTGTGACAGAAGCCATCCTAATAGGTGTGGGGTGGTATCTGACTATAGTTTAATTTACATTACCATAATGATCAGTGATGTTGAGCATCTGTTTAATGTGATTTTTTTTTTTTTAAATTTAAATTTTTAAAAAAGACTTTTTACTGATTTTCAGAGAGGGAGGAAAGGAGAGGGAGAGAGAAACATCAATATGAGAGCAAAACATCAATTGGCTGCCTCCTACACACCTCCTACGGAATCGAACCAGCAACCTTTTGGTGCACAGGATGACGCCCAACTGAGCCACACTGGCCAGGGCAAGAAGAGTCTTGTTTTCTTATCCATTCAGCCACCCTATGTCTTTTGATTGAAGCATTTAATACATTTGCATTTACAATAATTGTTGATAGATATGTAGTTATTGCCATTTTATTGTTCATATTTTAGATCTTTTCTTTCTTCTTTTTAAAAAAGTCCCTTTAACATTTCTTCTAATACTGGTTTGGTGGTGATGAACTCAGCTTTTTTTTTGTCTGGAATGGTGCTCTTTTTCAAGATTGGCTATTTGGGGTTCTTTGATATTCTATATGAATTTTAGAATGGGATTTCCTATTTCCACAAAAAATGTTATTGGGATTTCAACAGGTATTGCATTAAATCTGTAGTTTGCTTTGGGTAGTACTGACATCTTAATAATATTAAGTCTCCCAATCAATGAACATAGAATGTTTCCATTTATTTAGATCTTTCATTTCTTTCAGAAATGTTAATAGTTTTCATCATACAAGTATTTCACCTCCTTGGCTAAGTTAATTCGTAAGTATCTTATTCTTTTCGATGCTATTATAAATGGAATAGCCTTCCTGGATTGTTCACTGTTCATGTACAGAAATGCAATTCATATGCGTATGTTGACTTTGTATCCTGCTACTCTGCTGAATTCATTTATTAGCTTTAACAATTTTTAGAGGGGTTTTATCATAGAATCTTTAGGTTTTTCTACATACAAAATCACATTTTCTGCCGAAAAACATAATTTTACTTTCCAGTTTGGATGCCTATCTTTCTTTTCCTTGCCTGATTGCCCTGACTAGAGCTTCTAGTACTATGTCAGATAGAAGTGGCAAAAGTGGGCATCCTTGCCGTGTTCCTGATCTTAAAGGAAAAATTCTTAGTCTTTTACTTTCAGTGTTATATAAGCCGTGGTTATTTAAAATTTTTTTTTAATCCTCATTTGAGGATATGTTTTTATTGATTCCAGAGAGAGGAAGGCAGGGAGAGAGAAACATCAATGTGAGAAACATTGATTGGTGACCTTCTGATGTATGGGACTAGGCTCTAACCAAGTAAGCCACTCAAGCCAGGGCTAGCTGCATTTTTTTTAATATATGGATTTTATTATGTTGAGGTAGCTGCATTCTACTCCTAGTTTATTTTTTCCTAATCACAAAAGTACTGAATTTTGTCAAATACTTGTTCTGCATCAATTGAAATGATCATGTGGTTTTTCTTCCTTCAATAAGTTAACGTGGTATATTGCACTGATCAATTTTCATATGTTGAACTATCCTTGCATTTCAGGAATGGAATTAATTTTATTTGGTTATGGTGTACAATCCTCTTAATACACTGCTGATTTGGCCTGCTAGTATTTTGTTAAGTATTTTTACATCAACGTTCATAAAGCACACTGATCTTTTCATTTTCTTGTACTGTCTTTCTCTGGCTTGGGTATCAGGATATATTCATGCCGGCCTCACAGGATGAGTTAGGAAACATTTCCTCCTCTTCCACTTTTTGGAAAAGTTTGAGAACCGGTTAGTAGTTCCTCTTTAAATGTTTGGTAGAATTCACCAGTGAAGCCAACAGGTCCAGGGCTTTTCTTGTCAGAAGACCTTTGATTACTGATTCAATATCCTTACTAGTTATAGGTCTATTTAGACTTGTGATTTCTTTGAGATTTAGTGTTGACCAGTTTTGTGTTCCTAAAAATTTTCCCATTTCCTCTGGGTTACCCAATTTGTTGGTATACAATTATTTATAGTACTCTCTTATACTCCTTTTTATTTGTGTAAAAATTTTTTTGTGCATAGTAATGTCCTGGTTTTTATTTCTGATTTTATTGAGTCTACTTTTTTCCTTAGTCCATCTAGCTAAAGGTTTGTCAATTTTTATCTTTTTTTAATCCATGAGAAAATCCTCCATTTTACTATGATAGTCTGAGAAATAAGTGTTTAGGATGAGTTTCTTGAGCTTGTGAATTAGTTCTGATACCTAAACTTGCTAAGGTTTTTGCCATGTAGTTTTTAAGGAACATAACTTAGAAATGTGAATGATTTCACCAATCCTAATTTCCTAACTATTTTGAGTCAGTGAGAGGACAACTGGAACAGATCCAGGCAGGAGTGGTTGAAGGAAGTGTTAGGACCATGAGGCTATCATTCCAGTGGGCTGCAATCTCTAGAAATAAATGTGACTCCCTTCTTGCAGAGTTTTGATGTCAACTGTCCATTCCTCTCACAGATTCTGTAGTTATGAAGTACAGTGTAATCATGAATAATAACCAAGATGCACTGTGGGATTTAAAGTGGTCCACTTACTGGCAGCCTCTGCACCATTTGGGAGCTTATTGATAATGCAGAATCTTGCCAATCTGTTCCTCTGAATCAACATTTGCATTTCGACAAGGTTCCCAGGCAATCTGTGTGCACAGACATCTTGATGAGCAGTGGTCTATGTGGTCTTTAATCCTCACACAGCCCTTCAAGGAATTATGGTTATTATTTCCATTGTAAAAAGGAAGAAACTAAGGTGAACAGGTGTTGACTAACTTGCTTAAGGTCTAGTAACTGGTAAGTAACTATGTTGGAATTTGAATCCAGGTCTGTCTGATCCCAGAGTCTCTGCTTTTAAGTCCATGGTTTGCTGATTCCAAAATTCTTATCATCTCTTTGAGGGATGGAGGAGAGGGCAAAGAGACTGCCCTTGACCTTGGCCTCCAGCTAAGGATGATTCTGGGCCCCTCCTGTGTATTGCAGTGTACATTTCTGTTCCTAGAGGGCCAAGGAGGGGAAGTTGTGGCTTCTCAAAGGTACTGACAACAATGTTCATGGTAGGGACCTTTATTATTCATGAACTCCATGCAGATTTGCTGTTCAGCAGAGTCTGGTAGATAAATTATTGACTTGGGGATATATGCCATCAAGATTTGATTACTCTTGAAAAAATTACAGTTGGCTAAAGTGTCCAATCTTAATGTAATGCTCCAAAGGCAAAAAGTCAAATTGTCTGCATGGTTGGTTCCTTTTGAGGGCTGTGAGGTTGAATATGTTCCATGCCTCTCATTATAGTTTCTGGTGATTTGCCTGCAATCTTTGGCGGTCCATGGCTTGTAGTCATATCACCCTGATCTCTGCCTTCACATTCATATAGTATTCTCCCTGTTTTGCTGATCTTTTCAAAGAATCAACTTTAGTTTTATTTTCTCTATTGTTTTTCTATTTAATCTATTTATCTCTGCTCTAATCTTTACTTCCTTCCTTCTGCTAGCTTTGGGTTCAGGTTGTTCTTCTTTTTCTAGTTCCCTAGGTTGTAAATTAGGTTGTTGACCAGAGTTCTTTCTAGTTTTTCAGCATAAGCATTTATAGCTATAAATTTCTCTCTTAGCACTACTTTCAATATATTGCATGAGTTTTGGTATGTTGTGTTTTTGTTTTCATTCATCACTAAGTATTTTCTAATTTCCTTTGTGTTTTCTCTTTTGATCCATTGGTTATTTAAGAGTGTGCTGTTTAATTTCCAAAAAATGGTGAAATTTCCATTTTTACTTCTGGACATAGAAGGGATAAATGGTAATGGAAAAAATAAAATAAAAATAAAAATAAATAAATAAAACCATTACTTACCACCAAATAAAACACTACAGTTGTATAAACTGAGGAGGAAAACAAAACTTATCATTAGAATGTTTTACCACTTCTATTTCATTTCCTATATGCTTCAACAACCCCCTATTACTAAAAAACAAAATATAAAATCCTTACTTTTTCATTTTTTTTGAGTTATACTTGACTTGGTAAGCTGCCTGGATTAACTTGTCTGGACCTCCATCAAACTGATGTGGGATGACCTTCTGAAAGTGCTAAGAAACAATAAAAGAAAAACAAGAACTACTTAGTGCCGTTTATTTTTAACTAATTAATAGTAAACTCTAAAGGTATTCAAGAAATCGTGAACTGACTTACCTGTAACATCCCTTCCATGTCGAGTTGCATCAGTTCTGCCTGATTCATCTGAAGAAGTGCTAATCCTACTCGAAACACTATTTCTAAACCCTGAGGAAACAAATTATATAAAGCCAAATTTGTCTTACTCTTCCATCAACAAAAATTAGTCATTCAAAAGAATAATAGGGGAAACAGTTAGGGATCTAAACTAGAGGTTGGCAAACATTTTCCGTAGAGTAGGACAGTAAATATTTTAGGTTTTGTGGGCCATACGGTTGCTGTCACAAATACTCAACTCTGACATTATAGCCCAAAAGCAGACATAAACAACACATCAACAAATGGGCATGGCTGTGTCCCAAGAAAATTTTATTTACAAAAACAAGTGGGAAGACAGATTTGGCATGCAAACCAGTATACACATCATAGTTTGCTGGCTCTAGACTAAACTAATTTAGCTAGGTAACACAAACTAATCTTCCCAAAATGTAATTAATAACAATTAACATTGGGTTTGATTAAGATGTAATTAAAAATATTAATAATTCTTTCAGGTGCTATCTACCACTAATCACCTATCCCTACCTTCCTACCTTCTCATCCAAAATACAGAAGACAAAGGATCACTACTACATATCAATGACAATGAAAAGGGCTACCTGTAATGTGTTTGTGGAATGGAAGACACTTAATTAGATTCATTACTTCTTGCTCTTTGGATAACAGGTGCACTGCAACCTATGAATTGTAAGGCAAACTTTATCTCTCATTACTTCTCACTAAATCTATCAGGAGGTGATTCAGAGGTTTAAAAGTGTAGGCTCCAGAGTTTGACTGCCTAGATTTGAATCCTGATTATTATACCCACTTATGTGCTGTGTGTCCATAGCTAGCTACTTAACATTTATCTAGATCTTGGCTTCCTCACCTAATAAATGGGGAAATGAGCAATACCTGAGAGGGGTATTGCAGGTTTAAATAAGATCATCCATGTAAGCAGTTTAGCATTGGACACATGGGCCTCCTTTACTGTTCTCCTCACTACCCTGCTCTAAATAACCCAATGATTCCTTGCTCACTATACCCATTAGCTTACCTCAGACATAAAGATATCAAATATCCTAGTTGCAACTGGTAGTGGAAAAGTTGTAAGAAAGATAGTCAGAAACCAGGATGATGCATACATTGAGGTATGAAAACTCTGAGACTGAAAATGTACAAAGAGCTCTGGAAGATGTTCCTAAAGAGAAAAAGAGAATTAGTTAAAACACAGTATGTAAAGTTGGTTATTTTAAACCAGATCATTGCATATACACTAGATTGGTCTATATCAAACACAAAGATCAGATCAGACATCATATAGAAAAGTTAAGATGTAGAAATTGATACGCTGAAGATAATGGTTACCACCTGGGAAGGGAAAAGAATGTGGAGTTAGGACTCTGGCTGTATCTGTAACATTTGATTCATTAACAAAAAGGAAAATTAAAGCATGTAAGTAAAACTTTTATATTTAACCTTTTCAGTGGGTAGATGGGTATCTGATATTTTCTATAAACTATAATATTTCAAAATTTTTTGAAAAAGGAAAGATGCTATCTACCATTGTTCACCTTACCCTCCTACCTTCTCACCCAAAACACAGATGGTTCAGCAACTCTAGTAATTCAAAACATAAATGACACATTAACTGAAAATAAACCAAGAGTATTTAAGGGTTGATACAAAACAAGCTTACTATTTCAGAAAAAGAATTTAAGAATCATCTCAAGACCTACTTCATCTTTAAGATATAAAAATATTTTGCATATCCCCTTCTTCTCACCACACACACATAGAAAAAGAGGATTTTAAAATTCCTGTAGGTGCGCTGGCCAGCCTGGCTCAGTGGTTGAGCATTGTCCCATGCACCAAGAGGTCACAGGGTTCAATTCCCAGTCAGCACACCTGCCCAGTTTTGGGTTTGATCCCCAGTAGGGGGCGTGGAGGGAGCCGATCGATGTTTCTCCCCCTCTCCGTTCCTCTCTCTCTGAAATCAATAAAAACAAACTAAAAAAAAAATTCCTGTGGGTAAGGCTGCCAGAGAAAAGGAGACTCGTAAAAGTGGCTCTCATACCAGCTCAATCATTAACCTAAATACTTAAATTCTGCCTAATTGACATTTAAGTAAATGAGAATACTTATACCATTATTTTACAGGACAATATAGCACACTTATTTTTATTTATAAAATATAAAAATTAGTGCTCGCTGGGTGGCTCAGTTGATTGGTGCGTCCTCCCATACACCTAAATGTTGTGGGTTCAATTCCTGGTTAGTGCACATACCTAAGTTATAGGTTCGATCTCGGTACGGCTGCATATGGGAGGCAACCAATCGATGTTTCTCTCTCATATCTATGTTTTTCTCTCTCTCTCTCTCTCTCTCTCTCCCCCTTCCTCTCTCCTAAAATCAATAAACATATTTTTAGGTGAGGATAAAAATACATATTTTTAAAAATAAAATAAAATAATTAAATCCAGAAAGCTAAAATATTTTAAAAGTATTTTTCACTTAATTTTGGTTCCTCTCCTCTTCATCTTCATGCAGTCACTAGACTCTGAGTCTTAAACTAGCAACAGAAAATGACGGAAACATTATTTGCTTTCGAGATTGCTGGCCAGCAGTCAGAGAAAGGCAAGAATCATACAATCTCACTCATATGTAGAATATAATGAGCAACATAAACTAATGAACAAAATAGATCTAGAGACACAGGACCATGGAACAGACTCATGAATCTCAGAGGGAAGACAGGGGTCAGGGAGTGGGTAGGAAGAGATTAATCAAAGCACTTATACGCATATATACATAACCCATAGACACAAACAATAGTGTGGGGAAGGCCTGGGCGAGGGGGCGGATGTGGGGTGGACAGGATCAATGGAGGGAAAAAAGGGACATTTGTAATACTTTCAACATAAAGACTAAAAAAAAAGATTACAGGCTAGCAAGGTGTGAGATAAAAAGAGAAAGGCATGCCCTGGACAGTGCTAGTCAGTGGTTAGAACGTCAGACCACACATGGAAAGGTCGCGTTTGATTCCCTGACAAGGGCACGTACCGGGTTACAGGTTTGATCCCCACCCCTGGTCAGGGCACATGCGGGAGGCAACCAATCGATGTGTCTCTCTCACATCGATGTTTCTCTTTCTTCCTCCCTTCTCCCTTCCACTCTCTAAAACTCAATGGAAAAAATACCCTTGGGTAAGGAGTAACAAAAAAGCAGGGGGGGGAGGGGAAAGGGAAGGCAATCTCAAAGGAAATGAACTGACAGTGTCAAAATGTCATGAGCTCCTGAAAGAGACCACAGTCTACATAACAATAATAGGATATAACAAGGCATAATAAGGAAACTCATGCATTTAGGCAACGGGGTTATGATACATTTAGCATATATGCTTAAGGTTTGAATATGAAAATTGCATTCAAGTTCCAGACTGCGATAGTGCAGATATTTGCTGATAGTGCCTAAATGGAAAGTAGGTCTAAATTGCATTAATCAACCAACAAAGGATCATGTGATTAAAACACTATTTTTTTTTTCAATTGCTGTAATGCAACATTAAATTTTTGAACATTAAATTTTCTCAGGTGTCACTCAAACCAAGATGACAAAAATATAAAGGCAATATGCCTTATTTTTTAAAACTACACTTTTACCTGTATCATGCATTCAAACTGGTACATACAAAGGCCCAATTCTGCCATACTTGGTTTAAAAAGTTCACGAAGTCTATAATCTTGCATTAATTTAACAAATACACAGAAAGCTTCCTCTTCTGGCATCTACATTAGGAGAAAACAACAACATAGGTTAATGTTCTGTGATACACAAATAAACTAAAGTATATTTAAACTAAGCACTCACCCAACTATAAACACTGTTTTGAGTGGCCATGTGATACAACGTTAAGAGCAACAGACTAAAAATCAGGTTTTAATCTCCCATTCTATCACAGCTAATGAAAAGTTAGACAAATCTAACAATCTCTGAGACTAATAGTCTCACTTGCCTAATTCATTAATTCAACCAACAAATATTCATGTAGAGCCAGATACTTCTCTCTCTCTGGGTATATACCAGTGCACAAAAGAAACACAATCTCTACCCTCAAGAAGTTTGTACTCTGTAGTGGGGGGAGAAAGACAATATGTGGAAGAAATCAATTAATATATGTCAGGTGGTGATGAGTGCTATGAAAATAAAACAAAGTAACAGAGAATGCTGGGGAGATGCTATTTACATAGGCAGGTCAGGGAAAGTGCCTTGGTAACATTTAAGCAGAATACTGAAGTAAGTAAGGGAACTGAGGAAATAGTCCTGGGAGAATACTACAAAGGCCTTTAAATGGACTCAAGATTGGCATGCTCCAATTGGTGGTGTGGCTCAGTGGTTGAGTGTCGGCCTATGAACCAGGCGGTCACAGTTAAATTCTCAGTCAGGGAACAGGCCTGGGTTGTGGGGTTGATCTCCAATAGGGGGTGTGCAGGAGACAGCGGATCAATGACTCTCATCATTGACGCTTCTCTCTCTCTCTCTCCCTTCCTTTCTCTGAAATCAATAAAAACATATTAAAATAAAAAAAGATTGGCATGCTCAAGGAACAGCAAACAGGGAACTACTAAAAGTAGGAATAATGTTACAAGTGGTAGTTAAGTTATAGAGGAGAAGTAACAGGACCAAATTACACAGAGCTTTGGAGGCCACTGTAAGGATTTGGAATTTTACCTTAAGCGAGATGGGAAGCCTTTTGAAGGTTCTAAGCAGAAGTGATATGGTATAAGTTACAAGAACTTGTAAAATAAGTTTTCAAAGAATCTGTAATTGGGGTTTAAAGGTATCAACTTCACATTTTATGTGTAACTCACTAGAAAATTATATCAAATAAGATAATGAATGTAAAAGCTCTGTAACAGCTACACAGATATTCATAATTAAGTTATCTTTCTCAAAAAGATACAATTTTCTAATGCTCATCCACTCACATCATACCAGTATGATTCAAAAGAGAAAACCTCAAAGGATCTCTAGGTATTCTCTTTACTGAAGCCTGCTTCTAATAACAATACATTTTTCCTAGCCTTGACACAACCAAGACAGGAGCCAAGAGTCTTGGCAAAATCTGTTCCTCCCTACCTCCCTTCCAACACATAAAACCACAATTCTGCCTTAGAAACCATCCTCATTAATCCTCTTAAGCCCTACAGCGCCATTGATTTAAGTCAGTCACTACAAAACCCCAACATCCCAGAACTCTCATCCTATGTGATTCTATAGCAACCCTAATCTATCCCCACTTCCAACCTTCCCAAAATCTCTTCCACAGCACATTCTGGAACTCCTAATCTGCCATCAAAAAAAATATCCTAACTATATCCTCAATCTCTTTATCAAATGTTCTTTCACCTTCTTCCTCTAACTGAAATCTGGCTTTCCCCTAAGAACAGTTTGACACCAAAACCTGGCTCTCCCCTGAGGTGGCTGTTTTCTCTCCCACAGCACCAGAAGCAGCCAGGGGGTAGAGGTATATGTCCCTTCTTGAACCTCATCGCCACTTCTGCAGCATTAACTCCTCATTCTCTCTGAAACACATACCAGCAGACATTACTCCTCTTTTATGCAGCATCTACCAACTTCTGGGTCATCTCCTCAAACGCCACTCTTTTGCATGTGGATTAATTCCCTGGCCTAACACATCTTTGATTTCCTTGCTCCAATGATCTTGGCTCTAGAGCCACACCACTTATGGTTAAAATCCTACTAATAGCTATATGACCTTCAGCAAATTATTTAACCTCTCCACTGCTCAGTTTTACCATCTATCAAACGGATAAAATAACAGTACTTATTTCACAGAGATGCCATGAAGATTAATAAACATAAAGTATTTACAATGACCTGACCTTGCAGTCCTCTCATGCATTTATACATTACTACCTTAACTCTGGTCCCAATTCCTGTGCTCACTTTGCTGTTACACGTATTCACTCACTTAAATCCACAATTACTGTCTTTCTCTCCGTTATAATTCCAACTGCAAAACCCCACCTTTGGATAAATCCAACCCTTTAACTAAATTTAGGCAGCAGTAAGTGGGTAAAATAAAAACACTTAAACATGTTGACTGGTCTCACTTTGAATTTAGGACCACTAATCTCAGTGGATCTTTAATGCTGCATGGTATATTTTATTTCCCTCGTTCAATCACTCTCATTCTAGACCATTTCAAACTTTTTTCTCTGTTCTCAAGCTTCTAACACCTCCTCCCCACCCGTCTCTAAAGACCTAGTTTGCTATTTCAATTTTTTTTAAGTAGAAGCAATTAAAAGACAATCATCCCATTCTCACACCACCACCTCTAGCATTCTACCTGCATCTGTACCCATTTTTATAGCCTTTAGTCTCTCTCTTCTATCTATCAGCCTGGACATTTTCCCCAATTGCCATCTCATATTTCCACCTGCCCACTTACATCTCCACTTGGATGTCGAACAGACATCTCAAACCACACTCCTAATTTCCTACACTGCCATTTCTTGCCCCATACTCTACTCAAAAATCTTATGAGCTGTCATTCCTCTTTTCTCTTTTACTCCACATCCAATCAATCAGTAAATCCTGCTTGCTCTATATTCAAAATATTTCAAGAATCAACCACTTCTCATCATAACACCTAGCCCAAACCACCATCAACAGAGTAGTCCACTGTCTGGACAACTGCAAGTTCTTCTTCCGTGGCCACTTTGCTGCCTCCCTTCCCAACAATCTATTCTCCACACATCATGGAGCTGCCACAGTGATCCTTTCGAATCATTTCAATCATTTCACTCCAATGCTCAAAACAAAAGCCTCTCTAGTGGCTTTCCATATCCTCAATAAAAGCCAAAATCCTTATAGGTCCTATATGACATGACCCCTTACTGCTTCTCCAAGCCCATCTCCTACCACTACCTTCCCCTTTCCACTTCCCCCACAGCCCCCATACCAGTCACAGTGCGAATGAATCAATTAACCTCCCTTTTTTGTTTTACAACAATTTCTTCTCTTGTGAACATATCAAAAAAAAGTTTCAGCCCTCTCCCTTCTGTAATAGCATCGATATAGAAACTGAAGGAGGGTTAAAAGATTGTGATTTTTAAAAAAATAAGTTAAAGTGATGACATAAAAGACCAAAAGGAGATAGAAAAAAAAAATCACTGGCCCCTTCTCAATAAGATTAAAATAATGGTCACAAGGTGAAAAAGTGTGGCACCGAAAAATAAAAATCACCCAGTTGTTTTATAGTCATTCCTTTCTATTAGAAAGAAACATGAACACTTGAGTCTTAGAATATTGTGCTGCTTCATATTTTCTTTGTGACGGTTAATAAGAATCCATGACTTTTGCAAAAGTCTAATGGGGACAATATCTACCTAATTTTATAGGACTACTAAGATATACAAAAAAAACATATAGGGTGTCCCCAAAAATGTATACATATTTTAAAAGCTGAGAGCTCAATTTTGAAAATGAAATGTACTTTAATAAACACTGCCTTTATAATTATTCAAAGTGTGCATATACATTTTTTGGGACACCCTGTATATACCCAGCACCTTTAACTATTTTAACACAACATATACTAAATAAGATAATGTTGCAAAAATATTTCTAAGCTAGTTGTGGGAGGCAATACAGCATCAGGTATGAGAATAAGCTTTAGAAACAAAGAGGGACTTCTGAATCTGGTTGAACCACACTTTCTAGTTTGTGGCCCTGGGCTATTAAATTATTGTTATAGTAGTGTATTAGCTGCCACTGACAATAACAGTAAATCAATTATTGAATAAAAGTGAGTATCGCTACCAGCACTGCCTGCAGTGTCTTGAAGAATAAAGTATGATGGCCCCTTAGGCTTCCTAGAGAGTTAGGTCAGCTGTTGGAAGACTCAGAGCTCAAGTAGAGAAAAACTGCTCTCTAGATACTTAATGGAAATGTTATTTTGGAGCTAATATGAAAGTAAAAGGAAGAGAATTATGACAAAAATCACTGTATGTTAAGAGGGATGTTTGAGTTCAATAGTGAAAGGCCTACCAATACTAACCAATTACAAATTAGGAAAAATCACAATGTTGTAAAACAGCTATACTTCCAACTTTAACATTTCTAGTTTTTATTATTATTATTATTATTATTTATAATCTAATGTTAGAAATAGTCAAATATCCTGTAATAATAACTTCTGGAAGTTCTTCTGTTATAAAACAAAGTAAAAAACAGTCATTTTTATTATAAACCAGTGTCTCTGACATCAGGTTTTTGACATTCAGAAAAGAAATGTGTACATTCCTAATACTTACAGAGTTTTAAAACTCAGGTAGAACTGTTGGCTAATGGAAGCAAAGCATCAGGAAACACAGTTTTTGATTCTTACTCTGCTTTTATCTATCATGATATGTAATCTTGAAAGTCACTAAACTTTTATTGCCTACCTACTACCTGCCAAACACCATGCTAGGCTTTTACATACATTATCTCATCTAGTCCTCACAAGGAATCTGAAAGTAGACATTACCTAATTAATACTCAGAGAGAGGTTGAATAATCTAGCCCAAATTCATAGAACTCAGTGCAGAACTAAAATGCAAAAACCAGCCTACATAATTCAAATAAAATTATTTCCAAGGTTTCCTTTCAGACCATATTTTAATCTGAGACTAAACATAGAGTATGATGGACTTTTTTTAAATTTTAACAAGGCTGAAGAGATAACCACTCTATGACATTTCTCTTCAAAGCTATGATTATCCTGTCCCTGAATTCTGAGAACATCCCACCCAAACCTACTCCAAAATAAGTCACTGCCAACAGAAATATATATATATATATACACACACACACACACACACACCCCTAAGGCGACTGAGTACCACATTGTAGAGCCTATAACAAGCCCTCAGCTCCATGACAAACAAAATTCCTGTATAATTTTTCCAAAGATGTTGTACAACATAGGATTTCATACCAACACTTGAATCTTGTCCTCCTTGGTTTAAAAAAGATTACTCCTTCTTAAATACTGACATGTAAGTTAAGATTTAAAAGTAGATACAGGCTTTAGTAAATACTGTGGACCAAAGGTAAATAATACCAAAAAGGTGGAATTTCACTTAGCGGAGGATATTATTCTGTTATTTTCAACACTTTATCAGTAATCTTCTAAAGTGCAAACTAAATATTCCTAATTAAATTATGCCTAAGGAAAAATACCCAGTATCAACTTATACTTAATAAAAACAAGGATACTTTTAAAATTCTCCAATGCAACTTTAATTGGACACTTAACACTTGTATTAACTTACCTGCAAAAGCAACAATCCAACTATAAAAGCACTTCCTTGACAGTAACCAACCTCACGATCCACTAAAGAATATGCCTAAAAAGTAAAAAGTATTGTTCAAAATACTTTAACATGATATATTATACCTTCCTTCTCTAAAAACCTAAAAATAGTGAAACAAACAAGTAAATTAAAGACCACTTTTTAGAAAAGCTCTTACTTGCTTGTTGTAGATGTTATCCTGTAAATATTTAAAAAGCAAATTATTTATTACATAAAATTTTCTTTTGACAATTTTTCTTTTAACTTTAGAAACTAACAGCTCCTAAGGACAAAAAAAGAAAAGTTTGTACTTGGGAAAGCAACAAAGTTTTAAAATAATTTAATACGTATAATAAATAAAGATAAAACCAGAAACGGTTTAATAAGAAATCAATGTTTCAGAGGCAGGTGGAAGGAAAAGAAACTATGGAAAGGGAAAAGGCATTATTGAAGAAAAAATTACAATTGTACACACTTTCAGGAGCTAACAACACTGACCATAGCAAGTAGAAAAATTTGCTCCCAGATTGTGAAACTCCTAGAAGGTGAAATATTCATTTTCATAGAGGATCTCTCAATGTATAGTGATTTCTAGGTTATTTGATTTTGGCCAACTAATACCGAGCAATGTAATGAATCTTCTAATACGTTCTCTAAACTAGACTGTAATGTAGCATCAGAATTAAAGTAAAAATTATGCTAAAGCCAAATTTATTGCCAAAGCAACTGACGACTGGGATGAGAGTTCATGCTTCTTTGTGGAAAATGTATAATTTCAACCTTCTGAGAATTTACTTCAAAAAATAAACAAACAGAACTTACCTTCATTACATTAAATAAAACCTCCTGTCCAAAGCTATCTTTTTCCTTAAAAAAATTGTGTTCGGGATAAGTTCTAGCAATGTCCCTTCGGATCAATTTTTCACAAGGCGAAGTCATTTTCAGAAGTTCTGAGTACTGATCCTTGATTGGCATACTTTGTGCACTGCAAAGAAGTTGCCAAACTATTGCTCTAAAATGGTGGGGTATCCCTTTACGAACAAGTTCCTAAAAATAAAAGTAACATTTAAAAAATGAATTATTTAAGTCTCCTATCTTGAAAGCCAAAGAAGACTTATTGGAAGTTGGAATACGGTGGAAGACTTTATCAAATTTATAATTCACAAAACTACTTTTATAAGACTAGGGAACCTTTTAACCAACACTAAGACTTGGTCCTTGGGTGTATCCTGTTCTGATCAGGGGAGGAGGCACTACAATGTTATAAATTCTTATCATCTCACTCAAAGTATGATCTCTAAAGGTACTAATCTGCAGAGCTATGAATGGTAGTACAGTAATCATCATCTTAAAAAGGGCTGTTATCAGGCAAAAAATAAAAAATAAAGGTAAAATACTGATAATTCAAGGATGTAGGATGTCACAACTTCATTTCTGAATCTATAAAATGATAGAATTTAATTTCTAAAATAATTTTCACCTATCTATTTCTACAATTAGGAGACCTCTATAACAACTGATATTTATAAATCAAAATTTCTATGGGCACAAATTAATGAAAACATATAAAGGACACTTCTTTATTATAGTACCTGCAAAGTAGTTAAATCTGATTTTTAATCCTCTATCAATCCATACCTGATTCCCTTTCAGATAAGAGAAAGAACATCAACAAGAATATGAATACCTTAACGTGCTTTTCCTTCTTTTTACGAACATCTTCCCATTCATTAACAATTCTTCCCCAAAGTATCCAAGAATCTTCTTCAAGGTGGCTAAGGTTGCTAGAGGCTGATGAACTTGACACAAGGGAGGAGCCACTGTTTCTTCTTGACCCATTTACAGATTTCAAAGACTTACTATCCGTCTCTAGCAATCTAAAACATAATTAAAAACTGCTCAAGATCTAATTTCACAGTAATACCAAATGAAGCAATGGTGATACTTAGAGCTTCACGACAGCAATTTAGCCATAGTTTAAAAATATGCATAATTTCAATAATATTTATTAAGCATCTATAAAATTACTGCTGTATTTTTCATCTTAGCATAGCAATTTCAAATTTTGAAACAATAAATTATGTTAAAGATTTTAGTTGTATTATTAGTCCCATCATAATGTCCCTTCATCTCCAACTAAAATTCAAATTAGGAGAAATCTGGTGAGAAAAGTGGTTGAGAGGGCTTCAGGGGGAAAAAACTGTACTTGGAAGAACTATAACAAATTCTATGGAAGAACTAACCCTAACNATATAGTCACAACTCAGCTTCTGTCTCTGGCTCTTTAGATAACTGTGTGCTTACTATTAATTTTCTACCACATTCACGTACGCCCTGGGACTGAGAGGCTTAAGAGATGTGCATTCTTTTGCCTCCCAATAGTCATCACCTTTTCTTTATACCAGCATAGGAAGAGGAAAAAAAAAAAAAAAAAAAAAGGAAGGAAAAACCACACTAATTACCCAAATCGCTTCTCTTTTTTCATTTTGCTTCACCCACATATAACTAATCTGCTTAAAACAAAAAGTGTTTTGTTTGGCCCATGCAGTTTGTTATAAAAAACTGAATACTAATAAAATTAAAGGATTTCATTTATCTGTTTATATACAAATATATTTGTATTTATGTATAATTCTGGATTCTCTTGAAAAATAAGATAGGGCAAAACCAGGCCCATAATCCTGCACAGGAACAAAAGTGTATAGCAGCAGAAGCTTTAATCCACTCAATCTCCCAAAAATTCAGGCCAACTAACAGCTGTTATTTATCAGAAAGTCCTGTTGGCCTTTGAGCTTGCAACCCCGCGTTAGGTCTCTTCCTTATCTGTAGAAAGATAGGTTAAGATAGTTTTAGAGATCCATTCCACGACTCATCACAACATCAAATCCATTCTTTCACATATACACACACTATAAAGAAAGATTGGAAAATATGGCTCTATCATTATAAAGGTGTAAATTGCACATCATTCAAATAAGGGTCCTAAAACATCTGTTTGTGTATTGAACACAGCTACTACTCACTTCCAGTAACTTCAGAAAGTGATGTGCTAAGGGTACAAGAAATGCTCCTAATACTAATTTGTGATATACTAAAAAACTAATACAGAAAAAAAATTTGGTGAAACACTATTTAGCAGATTACAGAAAGAAATACCCTTTGCAAAACAGATTTACATCTTGCTTATCTTAACTTCCCTAAAAGCATTTAGCTCAGTATAAAGTACATAAAATATTGACTGAATTGAAATAAAATGAAAACCCCCATATTAAAAAACCTTCAAATTCAAGATGTCATATTCAATTACAATATAAATTGAACAACTACTATCCTTATTCATGGGATAATATAATACATTTTCATGGCAACAATAATTTAAATAAAATGTCCCAAATATTGCTAGAAACAGAAAAATGTATAAAGCAGTCATATTAGGTCAACTAACTGGGTTGCCATAAATATTCTTTATTAGAAAAGCATAATTAATGATGATGTTTAACTTCAAGTACTTTTCACCATGAATACTATTTCAGTAAGTCCATAATATATCTTATAGAAAAATTATTGTATACATGTAAGTAAATCTATATATGATTCTAAAGCCTAAGAATTCCAAATGGAATAGAGAAACAAACTTTACTAAAATAATCTGAACCTAAATTCTTAGTTTCACTTAATCACTGAATGCTTGCTATATGCCAAATAATTAACTGTATCACTGCCATCAATAGAGAGGCGTTCAGTTAAAAATAACATAATGATATTTCCTAAGCTAAACATAAGTTTGAGATGCAACCGAAGTATAAACGAACAGTTCCTAAACAGAAGGCTTTTAGAGCATCAGAAAGGTATCACGTTGCCAAATTGCAACTTTTGGGATAAACAGGAAATGCCAAGTGAAATTCATGGGTGGGTTAAAGAAAAAGGTTAAGTAGTAGTTCACCTTCAGAGGAAACTGAAATTACACATACAAATATACAACACTGTGAGAAAGATTTACAAATGAAATATTCCAACTAAAGACATCACATTATTTAAAGATACTGTCCCTGTCTCAACTCACATGACATACAAAAATGACTCAAAATGGACAACAGGGCTGAATATAAAAGCTAAACTATTAAAGTCCTTGAAGAAAACAGGAAAAAGTCTTCATAACCTTGGAGTAGGCAAAATTTGTTAATGGGACAAAAGGAAATATTAACCATAAAAGAAAAAAAAAATGATTAAAAAATAAATTGCCTTCAAACTTAAAATGCTGTGTTCTTCAAAAGATACCTGTTAGACAGATATGAGCAGAGGCCAGGTACAGAAACTCATCAGTGCACAAAGCCCCAGATGCCTAGCAAGGGGCAAAACTGGGAAAACAAGAACTTTGTCCCCAGGGTAACCTATCCTCTCCTAGCATATCGCTGGTCATGCTATTTAGACCCCTAAGCCCTGAGCATTTCCTCCCTAAAGATAACATCTAGGCCTCAGTTGTATTTCAGCTATAGGCCCAGAGAAGCAGCAAAACCAGAGAAGTGGCTCTGTGGCTGCCTCAGGACCAGCTACATTGACTAATGACCCCCTGCACTGGCACTAACTGATCAGTAGAGACCACAACTCTGAAAGAGTACACCTGAAAAGCTGAGGAATAATCTATTACGACCCTCCCCTGACACCTCTGATTCCCACCTGCAAGAAAGAGATAAATATGCTCAGGACAAAGGACCCAGTGCAAGCTCCACAGCGCCACCTCCTTCCCCCCTTCTTCCCTTGGAGGGGACCCCACGAGACTTGCAACCAGGGGAGCAATGGGCAGCGGCAGCTCATCCAGGGCTAACCCCCTGAACCTGTCTCCAAGGTCCCTTCTCTCTCTGACTTCTCAGTGAGCCAAAGCAGCCCAGCCGAGGCTCTCCTGTTGCTGCTTTTATGTTCTTACTTGTTTCACTGTCCCAAGTATGGACACAATACCCTTTGACTCAGTGCTATGTAGCCCTTCCCTTTGGATATCCCCATCCCCTTTTCCTTAAATAAATTTAATTTTTCTTTATTCACTGTCTGAGATGGCTATTTAGCCTGCCCTCACACCACCAACTTTAACCTTTCAATACCATTAAGAAAATAAAAAGGTAAGACATAGACTGAAAAAAATTTTTTCAACATATATATCTGACAGAAGATTGGTAATCCAGAATATATGAAGAACTTTTTTTTTTAAATATATACTTTGTTATTGATTTCAGAGAGAGAGGGAGAGGGAGAGAGAGAGAGAAACATCAGTGATGAGTCATTGATCAGCTGTCCCCTGCACACACCCTGCTGGGGATTGAGCCTGAAACCCCGGGCATGTGCCCTGACTGGGAACAGAACCTTGATCTCCTGGATCCTAGGTTGATGCTCAACCGCTGAGCCATGCTGGCCATGCTATGATGAAGAACTCTCTTAAAATCAATAATTAAGAAGGCAAACAGGGAGAAGATATGACTTTGGGTGGTGGGCACCAGAGCAATATATAGACCTTGTAACATAGAAACCCACACCTGAAACCTATATGTTCATATTAACCACTGTCACTCCAATAAATTTAATTAAAAATAATAATAAAACATTTAAATTTTTAAAAAGGCAACATATTTTGAAACGAGTAAAAGACTTAAACTGACATTTCCAAAACTAGATAATCAAGTGGCCAATAAGTAATTGAGTGGTCAACATCTTTAGTCATCAGGAAATGCAAGTTAAAACCACACTATGGGCACATTAGAATGACCACACCAAGTACTGCCCAGGATGGGGGCACTTTTAACTCATATACAGATATCAGGAGTATAGTTCAACCACTTTGAAGAACTGTTTGGCAGTTCTTTATAAAGTTAAATATATTTTCATATTACTCAGGAAGAGAAATAAAAACATATGTCCAAAAAAAAACTTGCTGTTGAAAGTCCACAGAAGTTTTATTCATGATAGCCAAAACCCAGAAACAACCTAAAAAAACAGAAAATAAGTGACAAAGTTGTGATATAGTCATTCATTGCAATACTATTCAGCAATAAACAGAAACAAACTGCTGATACATATATGAATATGGATGAATCCTATAAACATTAGGGTGAATGAAAGCCAGATGCAAAAGAGTACATACTATATGATCCCACTTATATGAAGTTCAAGAACAAGCATATTACAGAAGAAAATATAGGATTAAATCCTCATGTCTTTGGGTTAGACAAAGTCTTCTTATATGAGACACCAAAAGCACAAGTGGCAAAATAAAAAGATATATACATTGTACGGCATCAGAATTTAAACTATTTTATACCTCACTGGATGTCATTAAGAAAGTGAAAAGAAAACCCACAGAATGGGAAAAAATACTTGCAACACATGAGACTTTTATCCAGAATGTATAAAGAATTCAATAATAAAAAGACAATCCAATTAAAAAATGGGCAAAGAATCAGAATAGACATTTCTCCAAAGAAGATATACAAGTGGCAGTAAGCACATAAAAAGATGCTCAGCATCACTAGTCATTAGGAAAATGCAAATCAAAACCATAATGAGCCACTACTTCACAACCACTAGGATGGTTATGATCAAAGACAAATAATAACAAGTGCTTCAGAAAACAGTCTGGCAATTCCTCAAATGGCTAAACACAGAATTACCATATGAACCAGCAATTAATTCCATTCCTACCAATATATCCAAGAGAAATTAAAACCTATTCCCACACAAAACTTATATAACAGATGTTCATGGCAGTATTATTCATAATAGCCCAAAAGTGGAACTACCCAAATGTTCATCAACTATCGAATGGATAAAAAGCATTGGTATATCCACAAAATGAAATATTATTCGGTCACAAAAAGGAATATTGATACAT